CCTAAGCCCCTCCTAAGATTGATGGAGCTGGGAAGAGAGTTGACCTGAGCTCCAAGTCCCCAAGCATCAGGATTTCTGGAAGTTATTGATGAAAGGAGAAAATGGGAAGTCCCTTTGCCCATTTTTCACTTCATCTTTAGTGCAGACAACCAGGTGCATTGGAAGCACATGGACAGGGGTCTGATCCCAGCCCTGCCTTCAATTTCTATGTTGTTTTGACACATCACTTCATATTTGAGTTCTCTCTCTTGTTAAATAGTATCTTGCAAGATTATTGTCATCGTTTACATTTTTGCATGTAGTATGTTTATATCCCTGTATTGATGTAGTCCAATCCAGTGCCTGATTCAGAGTGGGATGCTACAGAATTACACTGGATTTATAGCTTCACCATTCGGGACCTTGGCTCTTTTTATCTTGCCCAACTTGAGTATGTGGATAGTATTTGCCATATCGTCCACAACATTGCATTTAAAAGTCATCAACGTCGTTAAGATTTCATGTGGAAAGAAGGAAGAGATTTTACACAGCAACCAAAACAGCAGAGCTCTAATGATTTCCCATCAGACATTTCTGGGAAGGCTGCACATCACCATCCACATGAATGATGCCCCTCGGAGATGTGAGGTGCACAGGCTCCTGGGCTGGTCTCTGTTCTTCCTCTGAAGTTCCCTTCCTACTGGCAATGATCTCATATTCTCTCCCTTTTAGAAGAGGACTTCTAAAATCATTTCTATTATATAATCTCACTGGCATCGGACTTCACCTTCATATTCCACTAATAAAAATATCCATAACTGATTCATGGAGACCCCACTGTAATTCTCATATGTCCTTAAGGTATCCTCTCTTCACTCAATGGTTTATCACAGTATCCACACAAGACACACACTTTCCTTAAAGGAGGGTGTTACAACCGGTGATATTGGTATTATGACAATGACTTAGAACTGTTTTCTTTATGGCCTGCTCATATCCATCAGAGAGGCAAGGAGTTCATACTTTGGACTTTGTGTGGACAGCAGGCACCTGCCCAGAACACTGAGTTCTGGAGCGTGCAGAGAATTCCTTCAAATGAGGACTCAGGGACCTACAGCCTCTGGGAGGAAGGTCCCCAGGCTAGTGACTGGAGGCAGTGTAGAGGGAACACGTGTCAAAGCTTAGAGGAGAATTCACTGAGCCTCACAACCACATAACACTATCAGGGACCCCTTTACTTTACAAGGGAGCTTTCTTTGAATAAACCCCAAAGGAAAGAATATGCTTATAATTAAAATCTTGGAAATTCACACTTTGGAGGGAGATGATGTTACCCTGCAACAGCTCCTTTGTATGTCTCTGTTCTCCTTCCTCTTGCAGCTGTTCTAGGAATTAGATATTATTATCATTCTTATACAATGAAGGAAGTTAAGTGTCCAGAGGTTGGACACCAAGCAAGATATCCCAAGCCTAGTCTCTTTACACCCCACCAGAGCTGATACTTCTTCTCTGATGCTTTGTAATGAAACAGCCCAGAACAACACCCACTGATCATCTCACAGTTTTGCAGGTCAGAGTCCCACTGGGCTGGACCAGGTACTGTGCTTGGGCTCACAAGGCCGGCCTCGAGGCCTCGAGCCATAGGGCTGCCTTCCCTTCTCAGGCTCATTCAGGTGCTTGGCAGAATTCTCTTTCCTGTGGTCTTAGGACTCTAGTCCCTGATTTTCTCTGGCTGTCAACCAAGAGCTTATCTCTCAGCTTCTTAGGGCTGTCTCATTCCTTCTGAAGTGGCCCACTCTATTTTAAAACCAGAAAAGGCTAGAATAATCCCTCTGCCAAATATTTTGAAGGGCTCCCTATAATTAGATGAGGCCCACCTGGATAATCTCCAGGTTTTAAAGTCAACTGACTAGGGACTTTAATTCCATCTGCAAAATCCCTAGCAGCACCTACATGAGAGTGTGAGTAGCTAGGGTGCAGCTATGTTATGTTGGGGAGGGGGTGAGTCTGCTGCAGTAGTTCTTCAACGTTAGTTAAGAACGTCCTGGAATACTATCGACAGTGGCAATATTTGGCTCTAATCCTAAATCTTCTGGTCCCCTGGTCTGGGACGAGCCCAGTTTGGAAGCCATATTGAGACCTTGACCCCCAGGGTCCTGGGGAGCAGCCACACAGCTGCCACCAGTAGCTCTACAACCCAGTCAGACCTGTGAGCAAGTCAGGAGTCCCCATCCACCTTCCCCCCACAATTCAGGAAGTACCTGGGTGGCCCACCCTCAGTGGCCTGGCTTGAAGAAGCACCCACAAATAGTCAGGTGGCTCCACCCACACTCCTGCTGTCCGTGAAGCAGCCAGATGCCCTACCAACGCACCTTTGGCTCCAGGAAGCACCTTCCCATCTGCTATCCTATTGGGTTCATGTAATTTCCTTATTAAATTGCTCTGGCAAAGTCTTTTCATTCTCATTAAGATGGAAGATACTGAGACTCAGGGAACTAATGATTCATCCAGACTTAGTTAATAAGTGGCTAAGGGAGACCTATATCTTAGCATTAACATTCAGACTCCAAGTCAAAACACAGAAATTTGTATCTGAAAGAGAGAGTAAATATTATTATATGCAATGCCCTTATTTTTCTTGCAAGGGTCACAAGACTACTCAGAGGAAAGATAAGAATTATAGCCCTGCATTTGTATTTTTGGTTCAGGACTCTGGACCAACCAGTTTGCCAAAAGATTGACACCTCTCAGAAAGAAATTTCTGATAACACTTTGTCTTTTGGAGAACTCATAACATTTAGAGCAAATATAGTCACCAAAAAATATATATTTTTGTATATTTCTGTTGATGCCTCATATTGGTTAAAAATGTGCCAATAAGCTGATATAAATCAATTAAGAAAATGATGACATGTGACAATTCCTAAGTAATCCTCAATTCTACTTTATTTTTCTGAGATATTCTGATATCTCTAATGTAGCTCACTAGCTGCAGCTAGTGGATTTGGCATGCATAGTTTTGATAACTGTGAGACTTGTCTCCAGACCCAGGCATGTCCAGAGACTGTGGAGAGCTTGTGTCTGTGTAATGTGACACAGATTTGGCCATTCTGACAAAGATCAAAATACAGGAATTGAAACAAAGAAGAAACTAATATGTCCCTACAATAATCACAGTGGACGTGGTGGCATCTGAACAGGACTGGAGACCTGTAGGGTTGATGTGCAGCTCTCTATGGTTGGTGACTCTTTCCTTACTCAAACAACCTCAACCTGTGGCTTCCAATTGTGATTTAAAATTATAAATTAAACTCCCAACAGCTACACACTCTGGTGATGAGAAAGGGAAACACAGGAAACAAGGAAAAAGCGTTCACCTTCCCTCTCGAGTCACAAACTCAGAAGCTGCGCACACTTTTCTCCTGATCTCTCATGGACCATGTAATCCCATGAGTCACACCAGCTTCAAAGCCTATAGAAAATGCACTTCTGGACCGAGCAGCCACTGACCCAGTAGAAACATCAATATCTATTGCTAAAGAGAGAGCAGGAAAAATGGAATCAGGGATGATTACGGAGCTTTCAAATCAGTAACCCCTTTAGGAAGAAAGAGGGTGAATACATTCAGGAAAACCAAGAGAGCAAAAAAAAAAAAAAATTGAATGAAGAAATCATGGGATTCAAGAAAATGATTAGCATATAGAAGAGCTGATAATTTACCACTAACTGCAAGGGGAAAGGAGCACGCATCTGTGGATGGGACTGGGAGGCAGGGGTGCGAGGGAACGGGACAGAAGGCCCTGCCTTCAGGCCTCTGGCCCTGCTGTTCAACACACGTTGCTCGGGTCACCTTAAAGCCAGGACCACTTCAGGACCCAGCTGCCCCCGGTACCCTTAGGATTCAAATACAGGAAGCAAATACAGATAACTCCAAAAGATTCTTCAGGGAAGAAGAAGAAGCCAAGCCTCGCCTTGTGCCCTCTCTTTCCAGGGCTGGCAGAGTTCCCCAGGGTGAGTTCTCTCAGGTTTCCAGGCTCCCCTTCTCTACCCCACCCCCACACATTCTTGATCCACCTTCACCAACTCTCCACGACCTGGCTATTTGCAGGTATGAGCTTCCACTTGTCGGCTGGTAAGACAGACCCTCCAAGAGGGACTTCCTTCCTGGCACATCGGCAGAGGATACCTACTAACCATAGTCCTAGGTTCCAGCGTGTCAAAGCCCTCTGCCACACTGCATATGTGCTACACACGGTTTGGGGCTCTGGGAAGTCAAATAGACTTCAATCTGTCCTTCTGGAGCTGAGAACAACAAAACCTAGCCTGGTAGGGAAGATCCACATTTCGCATTTTTCTTTCCTTTGCTACAGTTCACCATCTCCCAACTTAGATTGTCAACTTTGCACCAAATGACGAGGACAGAAAAATCTGTGTTGGGGGAGCCTAGAGGAGAGCAGGCATAGGAAGGCCAGCTGGCTTCTCTGAGCCCCAGTGAGCAGAATAGAGTGTCAGGAGAGGGAGACTCTGTGGGCAGAAGAATCCTTGTGATAATCCAGATAAAGGCTGAACAAGTGGATGGCTGTAGGGACACGAAGAATGGGGAATGGCAAGATGAAGCTTGGGGCAGATCCCAAGGGGATCTTAATATTGGTTGAATCATTTTATTGTCTTCAGTGGGCAGGAGTCAAGGGCAATCTAGGGTACCTGTCTCTAGAGATGGAAGATGCCCAGATCTCAGCATGCAGGAGCGGAGAACAGTAAGGTAGATGTTGAAAGAGCAAATACAGATAACTCCAAAAGGCTAGAGTTGAGGGAAAAATGAAGAGCAAAAAATAGATTTACACTGAAATCACAGTTATGTGAACCAAAGCACGTGCAGCACCTCAGAGCAGGTGTCTAAGCAGGTGAGGCAGGAGGAAGGGAGGATCAAGGGTGGATTGGAGGGACACAGTGAGACAGAGCTGAGAAGGAAAGAGCTTGATCAACTCATCTGTGGACCCAAGAGGGAGATAAATAATTACCTACATACATCCATAAATTCACGTAAACTACCGAAAGAGAAGCAAAGGCAGGATGATCTTGTGAAGCATGACCTGAGGAAGGGCAATGGTGGGGGCAGGTCACCAGGTGCTGGTACTTGCTGGCTTGCTCTCCCTCTTTTCTTCTCCTGCTTTGACTCTGCAGACACCTCTGTTGCCCAGTGACCACATCCTATGAAGACAGCTGCTGGACCGATGTGGTATGAGTCACTTCTTACTTTCTGCACAATGTGGGGCAACCCACTGAAATGGTTTGATTGCCAGTTTTCTTCTCTGCAAAAGGAAGAAAAATAAGTCCTTCTTTCACATGGTGGGGACAGGGCTTAGATAAGCTAATAGAAATGGAAAAGTAAAAGACAATGGCTGCATATTCTCACTCAGACATGGAAGTTAAAAATGCTGATCTCATATAAGGATAGTGTGGAATGGTGGTCAGTAGGAGGTAAGAAGGGTAGAGGGTGGGAGGAGAGAGGGAGTTGGATAACATGACCCAAAGCACAGTCAGGAATAAATTCTAATGTTCTACAGCACAGTAAGGTAACAGTTCACAACAATTTATTATGTATTTTATAAAAAACTAGGAGTTCAAAACTTCCCAAAATAAAGAAACAATAAATATCTAAGAAAAAAAAAGGTAATAAGCCTGATTTGATTATTATACATTGTAAACATTGTATACATGCGCCACATTTTCACATTGCACCACATAAGTATATACAGCTATTCTACTAAGAGAGGGAGATAGATGAGAGATAGAAGGATAGATAGATAGATAGATATATAGATGATAAATAAAGTGGAAAAGCCTCATATCATTTTTTGTTCAAAATGTCCCTTTCTTATTGTTCTGGGCCTGGGTGCCCCAGATTTGGGCCAATGATCTCTGCTTGGTCAGTCATAAAACCATAGCAGAGCCTTGGAATGACAGCTACAGTCTTGGCTCAGAACTGGAAGACTCTGCTATTACGGAGGAGGATGGACAGAAGCAGGGAGCTCAGAGCATCGCTCATCCCCACTGGGCCCCTGGGAGAAGAGCATCCCAGCCTGGCCCTGTGCCCACAGTCTAACGAAAAGGCACTCAAAGAGGCTGGGCTCCCTTACACCTAACTTAGCTGCACATTTTCATCTTTTTTATGTGTTCGGAATGTTACACTAATTGTGATGGATGTTCTCTTTGTGCTCACGCTGAGGGGCGGATGATGAAGCCATAATGTAAGGTAATATGTCTATTAAAGATTTAAAATAACCCGCCTGCTGGAAGATTCCTCACTCCACTGGCAGATTCAAGCTCCTTGGGAAAGCGTTGGTGTTAATTTAGAGACGGCGATAGGGTGGGAGAGGAGGGGAGGCCTCCAGGGATAGACTCCGACCTCTGGAATGCAGTCAACAGATCTCCCTTTACTTAACGAAGGCATGCCCACTGAGCACCTACTATGTTCAGCCCTGATTTTGGACACATACGGACAGTAGGGGCTTTGGGATTTCTCAATTTAGGGAGAAATATTCTGGACTTGGTGTACAAAATGTCAGTGCTTATGTACTCAGAATGAATCGTCTTTCTTTCTGATGCCTACATCAGTGTTAGAGCCCGGAGTTATGTCATTAGAAATAGAAATGTCTGGTCCCCAAATTCCAGAGGTAGCTAAAACTTGTATTAATAGGACCCAGTGATCTCCCAGCCAAATCTACCTCTATCACAGCAAAATCTGAGATGAAAACCAGGTATGATATATATATTTCCCTGTCCCATGGTCTCTCTTTCACTACAGAACTAGAAATAGAAAGAGATGTAGAGTAACTCAGGCAAGAAGCTGGGGCCATGTGACTCCAGGAGCTACAGGCTCACTCACAGGAAGACAGCTTGGCCAAAGGATGGACTCACCAGAGAGCACTGTGGGAAACCAGAAGCCTAGGTATTGGTCTTAGCTCCACCGCCAAGCTCAGTCCTTTCATGGCTCCCAGATCTTCTGACCAGCCATGAAGATTCAGCTTCTCACCCACCATTCTCTCTGGAGCCAACCAGCCCCTTTCCTCCACTCCCTCCCACGACTCATCTACTGTCGCTCATCAACCCTTCCTCCCATCAGCCTCTGGAATCTTATGTGAACTTCCAGGTAGTCATGAGGAATGAAGAAAGAGAAACAACATTCCACCCCTTTACCGACGGGAACCAAAATCAGCAACAAAATTACTACCATCGACAACCAGAAATGAATGTGACCTTATGTCATAAAATGAATGTAGTTGTCAAGGAAGTCAACAGAATATGTGATTATGGCTCATCACAAGTCCTAAGTGCTCCCTACCCCTCATGGGCCCAACAGGTCATATAAGGCAAATGCAGTTGTTTAAAAAAAATTCCCCAAATGCAACCCCATTAGAAAAAGAAAGCAGAATTAAAGTGTGATAGGAAACCTAGGGCAAAGGTAGAGAAATGTTCTCTGATCTACCTACCACCGCAATTCACACCTAACGTATTTTGAGCTCCTACCATGGTAATTATACAATAGTAGTTACGTAACTTTCTGTTTGAGCCTTTAAAAACGCTGTGGTATTATTAACTGCACATTCAGAAGGAAACCAGGGCAAGTGGATCCTCACCAAATGCCATATCAGCAGAAGCAGAATAACTACCTGGACTTGTTGTTTTTCAGGAATCCAGTCCAAATTGGAAAAAAAAAAAAACATAAAACACAGGGTATTTCCCTAACAGGGAGGAGACACCCTTGATCAGATGCCATGGTCTCATATTTAGGAGGTTTCTTTTCATTTCAGAAGAAAGAGTAGAGCCAGGATGAACCAATGAACTTGCACAGAGCTCCAGCTGAATTTCTTCATTGACACTGAATCATCAGGACAATGAAAAATAGTACAAAAATAACCCAGATTGTGGTTCAGATGGGACAACAGAAATGTTGCAATGAGATGGGAAAGATGTTAAGAAGAACTTACCAGACAATACCACAGCAGTCAGAGCTGCCCACATGGGGGGTGTGAGCAAGGGGTTGAGGCAGGCATGTCGCAGTGACTGTAGAAACTTGTCACAGAAACAGCGTGACCAAAAAGGACAGAAAAATAACCCAGCAGCAGAGAACGTAAGCCCAAGGACCAGAAGATTTCCTGCCTGTGCTTCAGGCCAGGAGATACTTGATAACAACATGTATTCTGTGTTTCCCAAAGATAATATGCCAGAGGAACAGAAGGAGATTTAAAGAGTGAGAACAAAACTAATGGAACCGACTGAGGACCCAAACACTGTCATTATAAAGCTAATTATGAGAAGAGCCAAGCCAGAAGGGACGTGGCTAAAATTTTAATTAAAGTCTTCAAAGTCCTGCGTGAGTGTGAAAGGAAGAGAGGGAAAAAGGAAAGAGAAATGATCACAGATTAAATAATAGATATCAAGGGTCGCTAGAAAGGATACAGTCTATGGATGAAAAGGATTCCCGAGAGAGAGAACCCCAAATATGCAGACAAGAATTATTTGAAAATATTTTAAAGCTAATTTTTTTTTTAAATAAAGAAAGAATGGGAAGAAAAGAAAAGGCCTATCCACCCACAGGAAGCTCTGACACAGAGTGACTGGACCCAAGAGATAACCTGGTGTTATTATTGAACTTGAAGGATAAAGGAAGAGTTGTTCAGGCATACAGGCAGACAATGCATCCTCCAAAGAAGAAAACCAAACTGTCTTCAGACTTCTCCAGAGCAACATATCCAGAGAAGAAAATAAGGAGAAATACCTCCAAATCCTGAGGGCAAAATTGCCTGGAAACATTATACTCTTCCAAAAATTCTAAAACACCAAATGCTGTCACCCTTTGCAGCCCAGCGCTCATTCCACCTCCTGAACGAGCACACATCAATCTTCCGCTACTCTTGTTACGTGTGTATCTATCTCTTCTCTCAGGCCACACTCTAAGCACTGAGCCTAGAGGTACACACACTCTGGTGCTCAGGGCATAGTTTATTTAGTACAATGAAAATGCTCAAGAAACTGTAAAATCCCATTCAAATGAAGACAACTGTTGCGATGGGCTGTGACCCAAATCTTTGCTTTTACTGTCCTTCTCTCTTGCTATTCTTCCTCTCATAATTCTTCCTTTCTGGAATGCAGAACTTTGTAGAAAAAAAAAAATCTACAAAGAAGGAGCCTAGTTGCTTGTGTTGTGTTTTGTTTTATTTGTATACAAGAGAGTCGTGGTTCAAAAAGTTTAAGTGACTTGCTTAGTAAGATCATAAGGCAAATTTATGGCCCAGCTGGGATGAAGACCCAGATCTCTTTGTCCCCTGGGCGAGAATATTTAATGAGGGATTCTGAAAGCCTGCAGCATGCTTTCCTGCTAAAGACAATAATCATCTCGGTAAACGGTGGAGCCTGAGGTCAATATATACTGTAAATACAGCCGTGCATTGCTATGATTTAGCATGAGCTGATATGACTGCAGTCCTTGTTAGAAAATCAAAATGCTTCTAGATAAAGTGATAAAGGCTTACTGTCCTGAGTGTCTTGAGTACCTCCCCAATATCTGGGCAGTTTCCAGATGTCCACTTGGAGCTTCCAGTTTCCCCAAGATCCACTCATGAAAGGGATAGTGCCTGGCATGGTGGAGGAGCCTCAGGGCCTCTTTTGGAGTGTCACAACCCGTGTCCATTCTGACTGGCAATTGCCTAGGCTGCAGTGGTCATTCCTACTGTGACGATGCCCTTGCAGATGTATACAGCTGTTGGTGTGGATGTGGCCATGGAAGGGTTGGAAAAGAGGCATAGCTGGACTTCAGCCCCATTCTCTTCTCCCTAAACTTCTCTGGCCATTGAAGGAATGAGCATGGGCAAACCAGCCCCCTCTCCATCTGATCTGCGTTTCCCTGGCTGGCACTCTAAACAGGCTCAGCTAACATAGACTTTCATATTTTCTATTGGAACATGACAGAAAGTCCATATCACAGAATCCACATTACTGCGAGTGTTGGAAAGTGGAAGATATTAAGACTCATGCCTTGAAGTTCTGCTGTTGATCAATAAAAGTAAAAACACAGGATGGCTGAGGGGTGTATGAGCTTTTGCCCTCACACACACATCCATACTTGTGTGTGCTTAAAACTTCCTGAGTCTTATCTAACAGACTCAATTAATTTTAAAAAATCCCCATTGCTCTCCCTTCCTAGAAATAGTAGGATAAAGGGTGGGGATGTGAATTTCTGGTAGAGTTCTTGTTGCTAAAGTTATCAGGTTTGTTTCTTCAAGCAGTGATTAGAGTCAGGAAAGTGAAGAGTCCGTGGTGTGTGAACGAGGGCTGTCCACGTCAGAGCTGATCAACACACATCCCCTGATCCCCCGTTACTTCCACTTCACAGTCCATATGAATCTCAGACCAAGTTGGACAGAGTTGATGGTGGTGGGAAGAATCCAGAGAAATAGAAGGCCCACTTTGAGAATAGACAGCTAGAGAGAGAGGCACTGGGGACCTTCACAGGGTTCGTCCCAGGGCACAGGAAGGAGAGCAATAGGACTTCTCCCTCCAAGCTTATCTCGTCTTTCCAGACATTCAGAAGCCACTCTGGTTTAGTGGTCCACCTGGCCATTCCAGTCGGTTCTATGAGCAGGCTTTCAGTGCCTCTTTTGTGCAAGGGACTCCATGGTGCTGTGAATTTAGGATTGAAAACTGTGTCACAGTGTCCAGGGCTGCTGAGTTTAAATTTATGAAAGACTGTAGCTAGGGTCCAGATCTGATTGCTGCTGAATTCATGGTTCATTTTGCCTGTCTGTCAGAGGAAAGCAAAGAGGGACTAATTATCTAGTGAGAGAGAGAGAGAGAGAGAGAGAGAGAGAAATGATATTGTAACTGAAGCAAGGAGCCTAGGACTGGAAAGAGTTGTGATCCAACAGAGGATAAGATTGACAGCTGTCTTCCTTTCAAGATGGCAGAATAGAGAAGGTAGAGGTGGGGTGAGGTGGTGGATAGAGGCTTAGGAGCTCAGTCTGTCCTGGTAAGAGATTTCAGTTATCTTTGCTGCCTTTAACCAAGCTTTAGCATCATGGAGACCTGAGGGTAGAGGGCAGGACCAGCATGTTCTGCCATCCAGGCTGAAGCAGTGCACCTACATGATCCGGTGAGCTGCACTTCAGAGGAGCTTCAAAAGCCTTCTGGAGTCTCACTCTCCCCATCTGTAAAATGGGGATCTATATCCTCGTCTGGTCCATCTGACAGGGTCCTTAAATGTACCAAGTGAAATAATGGATGTTTAGTCAGTTGTTAAATGCATGAAACTGCTCTCGACTGCCTGAAATTACAAGAGATCAGTTTCATGTAAAAAGAGACCTCTTTCATTCAATTGAAGAAATAAAGTCGATTCTTACCTTTTGTGGTGGCTGTGTTCTAGGAAGCCTCTGCAAATTCTGAATTAGTGAATAACTTTCTCCTGAGGAAAACACAAGGTTAGATTCCTATGAACCTGTGGTTACAGAATTCTTACCAATATATAACCCTGTTTCATGTGTGGTTCGTGTGTGAGTGTAAGTATCTGGGGATCAGGGAACTTGGATTGATCAGCTCTGATGTGGGCAGCCCTGGTTCACACACCGCAGACTGTTCAGTTTCCTGCCTGTAATCACTGCTTGAAGAGATGTGATCCATACGTAACCTTGTTTCAGGTGTGGTTCTCTTTAGACAAGGCCTATTGGACATTCATAAACATTGCACTCACAGCCCAACAACACTATAGCTCACACATGGACAAAGTTTATCTAAAACGTATTTTATTTTCTGCAGGGCATTGCACTCAGGAACGCTAGACAACACATTAGCATCATGCTTAGAGACCACTGGAAACAGCAAAATCACCCACAGAAAATACAAAAGGGCAAAACACATGTTACCAAAGAGACCATGAAAAGACACTCATTTACAGCACGAGAGCTGAAAAACGATGGCAGAATGCCACTTTGTTCCCCAGAGCTGCAAATGTTTGTGTCAAACAATTCAAATTTTTCACCATTATGTGTATGAGATTTGCAGATACCTGGAGGAATAATGCTCCAGGCAAAGGAAGCAGCCAGTAAAAAACGCATAAAGAGCAACAAGGAAGAAAACAGCTCGGCTGGAGGCGATGGAGAGCAGGAGAGAGTCACA